AATGTTGCAGTTTTAGGATTATTTCTAAATCATATCTATGAGATGGAGTATAATGGAATTCATAATAATATTCTTTCTTTGACATATTAGCCAAATTAACTGTTTCTTCATACTCTTGATCAACAATAGCTTTACTCTTTTGTAAATTAAATGTTAACTCCCATTTATCTGTTTTCAATGGGAACTTTTCATTATCTGCACCAAGAAGCATTAACTCAAGGTCTGATGATACATGATATGGTTTAATAGCTTTGGATTCAGCTTTAGCTGTTTTCTTTCTTCTCCACCAAACAATAGCAATAATAATAGAAATGATAACAATGATGATAATAATTCCTACTATGATTAATGGAATAATTAATGCCCAATTAGTCTTTGAACATGACATTCCTCCTTTGTCTAAATCATATCCTTCTTCACATGTAACACATTTACTTCCTGAACAAGTAACACAATGTTCTAATTCATTGCATGGAGAACAAGTACCATTAGAATTAACATACATAGAATCATTAGGGCATGTTGTACAAACTACTTTTTTGTTAGTTGAACTATACACACAATTACCACAGTAGCTAGGACATTCAGTACAATTAAATTCATTTTCATTATCATGATTTATATAGAATGTATCTTTACATGTGACACATCCTGTAGGACCAGCAATGCACGTCATATTAATTTCACTTTGTGGTGAACATAATTTTTCACTATCGTTATGTCTATAATATCCCTCAGCACATGACAAACATATTGAATTTGAACTATTACTAGTATCCGGATTATCATCATCAATACTTACACTATCATCAATAGTGCATGTAGCACAAGACACATCACAGCTTAAGCAACTCTGACTAGTACCGTCTTCTTTTGAAAAAATAAAATACCCATCTTGGCATTGAGTGCAATATCCCATTTCAGCTGATAAACATGATTTTGGTTTTTCTTCACAATAATACATATTAGTATCATCAGAAGTTGTGTTTTTAGTTAGAACATAACCAGTGATACAAGCAGAACAATTGTATGGTTCAAAAGCACAAAGCTTACAAAATTTATTACATGGACTACAATCTTGGTCACCTTGTTTAACAAAGTATCCTGGCTTTGTTAAATTCTCAGGGCTAAGATCGTTGATACATTCTTTACATCCTGCTTGATCAGCTAACGAACAATCCTTACCTTTTGGGATACATTTACTATTATCAGTTGAGAAATAATAATCCTTAGCACATGACAAACAACGAGTAGATTCTTGAACACAAGTTCCACAACTGTCTGAACATTTTTCACATTCCAAATCTTCATTAAAGAAATAGCCTGGTTCACACTCCAAACACCCGTATGTATGTGTACCTTCAGCACAATGTAATTCTGCTTTGTCATAACATTTGCCCTTATGAACAACGAAACCCTCCTTACAAACTGTACATACAACCTCATTGTCATAATAACATGTAGAACAATTACCTCCACAAGCAACACAATCTCCTTTGTATATTCTATACTCATCTTCACAAAGTTCACAATGGTCATCTTTTAGATAACCTTCTTTGCAGTTTTTAATTGGTCTACATACATCTGGTTGCTCTTCTGTTGCTGGCATAGAATCATCTACCTCTCTAACTAATAATGTTTTGTTAGTACATTGGAAGCAATTATATGCCTCAGTACATAGTGCACAATTAGTAAGACAACTCTTACAACTCCTTGACTCTACATCAAAATATTTTCCATCACCACACCTTCCACAAGCTTCATTAACCTCATCACTAGAAGTTGAACAATCAATACATTGTGTTTGGTCAACAGATAGATACAGTTGATTACCACTACTACTTTTACCACATTCATAACAATGAGTGTTATTACAATGTAAGCAATTCTCAATTTTATTTTCATTTTCCTTACAAAGTTTACAACTACCATCATTCACATAATAACCATCATTCACATAATAACCATCATTCACATAATAACCATCATCACATCTAACACACCCATCCCCATCTACCTCAGCACAATTTTCAATTGTTGGTGATTGTTTGCAAATAAGCATTGGAATTTGTGAGGTACTATTCTCAACCAATTCAAGATAATAACCTTCTTCACATTCGATACAGTGGTCTTCTGATATTCTTTCTTTACAGCCATCGCTCTGGGTATCACTCTGTGCATAAATCCCTAAAAAGAGAATAGTGAAAAATAGCCAATTAGTCATAATAATAATAATAAGATTTTTAAATTTCTTTTTAAGTCTCTTTGTTGTTTGAAGTTGATTTTTATGGTTTTACTTTCATTCTATTATTATAAGCAATTAATATAATAAAATTATTATTATTAATATTATTTAATAAAAATTATTATTACAGATCCACCAATCAAAAGAATATTATCAAAAAAAAAGAATTGTTAAAAAAAATAGTTTATAATAAAAAATAAGAGAAAAATATTACACACAAGGATTTGAGTTTTTGATGAACTTCAAAAAATAATGTTTTTTAAAATTATATAACATAAAATTTAATTAGAAAAACAGATTTGAATGAAATAATAAACATTTCTATTAAGGGAATGAAGAATATAAAGAATTATCTAAGTGAGTGTTTTGTAGTAAATTTATCAAACAAATTGTCATGGTGAAATAATATCAATGATAAAATTTTTGCTTGAATTCTTAGTGAAGGAGATAAACAAATTAATAAATTTTTTTCGTTCATTAGAGTGAATTCTTGACAAAAAAGAATTCTATTAACGAGATGACTAATGATCTACCATATAATGAGAATACAAAGAATTAAAAATAAAAGTAATAAAAAACAAACGTCTAATATATCATGAGAAGGTTTGTATATTTGTTTTAAAGCCTCTTTTAAATGAATTAATGCATCTGTTTCATTAGAATCATTTTCAATACTTTTTATAAGGATGTTCATATCAATAGGATTAACTAATCCATCAGGCATTTCTCTAAAAAATTGTTTAATGATATTAGTAATGCTATGAATATTGTATTGAGTCCAATCAACTTCAAGACCTTCTTCAATACTTTTTCTAATTATTTTCATTTCTTTTGCATCTCCAGATAATCTGAATATTCCAACTTCATTTGTAGCACAATTTTCCAGATATCTTGAGGCAGTAAAAACAAAATAAGGGACTTGAAGATTTTCTAAAGGTCTGTGACATAACATAACATTTTTTAAAGGTTGACCAAATAAAGGAAGGTATGGAATAGAAAGAATTGGTTGTTCAAATTTATTAATATTATCTAATATAATAGTAGTTTTTTGAATAAATTCATTTGATGCTCTTGTAATAACTAATTTTTCTGCAACTTTAAGATGAGGAATATTTGTATTATCCATAGTAATAATAGGAATACCATATATTCCAGTTATAGCAATAGTACTTTCAACAATGTTGTATTTCATTGATGAAATTAATGGAACTGCAAATATTTGAGCTTTTTCTAATAATACTATATCACTCTTATGTGGTCTCATTCCAATAAATGGACTATTGTAAGAATTAGGTGTACTTAAACTTGATGATAATACACCTAATGTTCCTGTAAATAAAATATGATTTAATATAATATCAATTCTAAATTCTTGAATAGAATCATTTTCTCCTCTAATAGATGCAGTTATTGTATCAGTTTTAATAGCGTTAGCTTTAGAAAATACGTTTCTAATAATTTTTAAACAGTCACCTTTTACCTGGGATGACATTTAAAATCATTTTTTAGTTTATTTTTATTTGTGTTATAAAAAAAAATATGTAAATTTTTTTATAATAATAAAAAAAAATTTCTTTTCCAATGAATAATTTAAGTTCTTTGTATTTCATTCTATCAAATAAAAGTTCATCTCATCCCCTTCATCTCTTTTAATTACTATAAACGACTCTTCTTTTTCTATAGACCCATAGTGTAATTTTATATTTCCATGTCCAAATTGAATACACCAACTACGAATATCAAACCCCTCTGATGTTTGAATTATCATTGATCTCATCGGATGGTCATTAATTGTAACTGTTACATTAATCAAATCAATACGTTTTAATAACGTTGTGCATTTAATAATAAGTAATTGTCCAAGAATGACTTGTTTTGGTATTTGCCATTCAAAAGAAAGGTCATTTTGTTTTTCAATAACAATAATTTTTTTTGGAAATCCACATACACTATTTGAAGGAGAAGAGTATTGGACATCTAAAGTATATTCACCTATTGAAGGGTTTTTTATTTGTATTTCATTATCAAGACATTGAATATCATTAATATTACTCACACATACTAAGTCTTTAGGGGCGTCCATGGGGTTATGAAATTGATCAAAGAAATGAAGTTGAAATGAGGTACTTACACCTTCTTCTATAAGACAAATGTTTTGGATTTGGGTATTAGAACTATCATTGACTTGAGTTAGTGAATCATCTATTTCAAGAGGAAAAACAGAGAACACGATTTGTTCTATTTGTTCATTGGCATCATTGAGTATAGATATTTGATATTCACCACTGTCATATAATACTGGTGTACAACTAATATATCCAATTTTACTTTGTTCTACTTCAATAAAAATTTCTTTTGAATGATGAATTAATTTCATTTGAAGAAGTCCAATTGAAGTGATATTATCAAAACAATCAAAACATTTCATTATAATTGTTTGGACACCACCAGCCTTCATTTCTTTTTCATAAATGAATTCTTTTCTTTTTAATTCTCCAGAATTAATTCTAATAAGCATAGTACTTCCTCCTCTATGAGTAATGAATATTCTCTTTTTTTTTATTTTATAATAAATTAATAACAAACAATACTGATAACATATATTCTCCAACAAAGTGTGGATTAATTGGTTCAATAATATCTTTTACAATTAATGGATTAGTTATTTTAATTGGATAAGTAGTACCATTATATGTACAACTAATTTCAATAGGATTACCAGTATAGTAAATAAGGGCATTCTCAATATGGTCAACACTTTTTTCAAAGACACTATCTTTCCATTCAATAACTTCGTTTTGTTTTGAATAATCTATTTCAATTGGAATATTGCCACTTCCATCAATACTTAAAATGAAATCAATAATGATCATTCTAATAGGGTTATTACACATTTCTATTTGATCTAATTCTTTAATTAATTTTTCACATTTAACTGTAATGTAATTGTTAGTATCATCATTACAATAAATGTGTGAAAGAAATAAAGATGGATAAGTATTCATAATACTTTCTATTTCATTATTCATTCCAATATTTTCATCAATAATAAAGAATAGTTGAATTAATTCTTTCATTTCTTTATGAAGAGCAAATAACTTTTGTAAGTAACTCATATCTACATATTTCGAAAGTATCTATTCTATTAGTATTACATAGATCAATTATAAATTGTGGAATTGGTTGTCCAGATACCCAAAATAATCGAATTTCTTTATGGGCATCTTTTCTTTTATTCCTTAAAATAAACATTAATAATTTAATAAGGATAATACTCCAATAGTATATTTCTTGAGTTGGAATGCAATGAATATATTTTTGTATTGTTGAATGAATACCGTGAGTATAATATAATGCTATACAATCAATAATTTATTTGATATCATTATAGCTTTGATTTACAAACTTTCAATAAAATTAAATGATAACCCTTTTCTACTTATAATACTTTGATGTATTCTATTAATACATTGTTTATCCTTCTCATCTTCCCATTCTTCACTTTGCCACCATTCGTGTTGTTCCATAATAAGTTTGATGGATTACTCAAACAGTATAGTTCTATTTCTATTTTTTTTTTCTAGTTTGTTTTATCTAATGACGTTTTGTTTTCAATAAATAAAACAAGATTAAAATAAAAATTTATGCCTTCAAATAACCAATCAAATCTTGAAAAAACCCTTTACTTAAAAGAAA